TTTTCATGTTGCTTCATGACAAACTTCAATGAGGAACGGTAACATTTCGAACAACAAACGTGGATGCCTATTTTTTCCAAAAAACCAAAAAAAGAGGAAGAACTGTTCTTGTTATGACTGAAAAGTTTTTTCAACAAACTAAATCTCTTTCGATTTCTATGCAAATTTGCCTCCCTTTCTTCTCTCCTCCTCCCTCCCCCTCCTCCGCACTGTAATTTTTGCATTTTCCAATAGACGATTTCTGGATGCCCCTTTGTGCAAAAAAAAGGGAATTACTGTTGAATAAACAGTGAGGAATGTAGCAAAAAAAGCGAAAATTTACTTTTGTAATGATAAAAATTCTAACACTGTGAAAGTGCATACAGTCATCAACAGTATAAAACTGAACTATGAAGACCTAAAGAGAATAAAATGATAAAAGTACCTGTTTTTTGCGATCCCACTGTGCCTTGCGCATAGCAGCTTCACTGACCACCGCACTCGTTGTGATGTCCGGCGGCGGTGGTGCGGGAGGCGGTGGCTCGTCTAAAAAAATCGCAAACTGCTCACTTTACGAACGGATGTAACTGTTTCGACTGCAATTTGTCCTTAAAGGTTGCTAAATTTTGGCAGAAAAGCTGCTGTTCTGACCTGGCTTGTGAGAACCATTGATGATGCCTTTCTTGTGCCGCTCATTCAAAGACAACGTTGATGAGGTGGTACCTTTGCTTCGATCTGTGCTACCAAAGATACTGTCATCTTCGGAACTGCTGTCTGACAATAACAGGTCATCAGTAAAACAAAACAGCTTTTGAAAGCAGAATATCTGGTGCCCTCTTCATAAGCTGCCTACCCCTAAACTAGACCTACTGACCTACACATAGCAAAACTTTTAATTCTGCAAAAAGAAAAAGAAGTTCACCAAACCACAGTGTGAAAAGGGTTATCTCAAGGGAAACTTTTATTTGACTGGTGCTACGCAGTATTGATACGCCCAGTGTTATGACAATTAGCGTCATGCTCAAGCAAAAGTCAAAGCTACAATACGGCAACAAGGCAGCCAAACGCCCATGATTTGTTAATTTGTTTCGATGATAAATTGGTAATGTTACGCGCCAGAGAATTAAAAATGCCACAAACCTAATTAGGCAAGTC